ATTAATGAATATGTCATACAAGTCAGTTCTGTTTTCTATGGAAGCATCTGTAAACCCAGCAACATATGTCAAATTAGAGCCCAGGTCACTCAGCTCATCCTCTTCAAGGTGAACATAGGGATAGACTATGGACCAGTTTTGMCGATGCCAGACTAAAAGTGGTAAGGCCCTAAAAGACATAGTCCAATAATGCCTTTCAGTATCACAGGATTGCTATAAAAGACACAATAGCAATACTCATTGCAATACTGCAATGTGACGTAAGCCTTTGATATTCATGTGCCAACCAGAAGACGATTGGCTGCTAGAACAAAGCGACTTGTGAAAAGCCATTCTGATCATGGTTGGCACATTAACATTATAAGAATGAGTTTGTTGATAAACATTGAGTATYGCTATAACCCTTGCTTGTACTCTTTGAAGGGAATCCCACCTGATATTTATAAGGAAGTGTACTCTGAAGTTCCAGCATGCAATGATAGAAACCTTCTTTCACACCAATAGACAATTATTCACTAGTATCTATCATTGTATGCTCAACAGATGTTTCAATTTATTGATACAATTAGGCATGGCTACCTTTCAAGACCTCACAGTGAAGGAAACTATAAAAAAATTCATTAATCAATATTAGAGTACAAACATTAAAATGTGTGCAACACTTTCCACTATTTACTACAAAACAGTGTTAATTAAAACAATAGAAAACAATAGAATTAGCATGATTTAGCAGTATTCAGTGGTATTTATGTTGCACAGTTTAGTGTTTGTTCTCTATTATAATATCAATTAATCAATAATACTATATTAATGTACCTTGATATCTCAAGTAAAGTTTCTAGTCTTGGACTATAGACTGCTATTCTCTTCTTCAACAGTAGAGCAGTGTATATCAGGATAGTTTCAACACCAAAGATATTGACTACATCTACAAAAAGGCTTCTTGTTAATCACTGCCCACTTATATAACTATGGGAACTGGTGGGAATTTCAGTCAGTGATACTAAGTCTCTGGAACATCCTTTTTTTTCTTTTTTTTTAATTTGGTTGAAATTTGGACCAGGGAAATGTGATTTTATCCTGTTAAAGAACATCTTCAGATATACACTGTAATAATACTTGCAGCGATACCTTTAATTGACTTCTCAATAAAGGCCTTCCTGGGATCATATTCTTTAACAGAAAAGTCTTCATTATCATGGTCATCATCGTCTTTACAAGATCCCTTTGTGAACACTGATAGGTAGCTTTGAAGCATACTGGCTGGGCTTCCTGTTTGTAAGAGCTTACTGCACAATATCCTACAAAGGGTTTTGTATTTCTCTGGATTGAAATCCTGAAATAAAATGAAATGACAACATTTAAGTGGATTCGCTTCAAATTTGAGAAGAGATCTGGATTTGATTCCCAAATCTACAATCCTGGACTAAAAGATTGAGATTAACAGCGCCACTTAGGTCAGTTCAACAGAACATGCTCTCTACCCCCTCTCCACCCCCATAACAACCATGTACTCTCAAAAATGCGACTTTGAGTGAGGAGAGGCGGAGAAGGGTTGTAAAAACAGAAAGTATACAGAGACTTCCCAACTTTCAGTAATAAAAAAAATCAACTCTTTCTGTCAGGATTGTAGATGTTATCTCTAGTCCAGTTGTCCGACCCATCCCAGAACAGCTCTGTTGGGCTCCCTGTGTATCATCCCTGTGTAGAAGGTTTTTTTCAATTGTTTTTCGGCTGATCATTTTACCTTAGTGACAACTGCTACAGTGATGTGAGTCACCTAAAATTTAATAGCAAATTTGTGATAAATTTTATTTGCCCCTAACATTGAATATAATGCACTGTGTTACAGCAACAACACAACAACAACAACATTCACTTCTACAGCTGTGATGACAACATTGAAACAGCAACAGTAGCAACAACAACAACAGCAATAGCAACAACATCATCAACAACAACAATAACAAAATACAAACATAATAATAAATGTACCTTCGGCATGGTGGTTGAGTTTTTCGTAGACGACGTAAACAAATAATACCATTTCTTTGCGTACTGGCCATAGCAGAAAGGCACGATTTCTTGTGTCTTTTCAGACTTGAGACAACATTTTCGGAGAAGAACGTCCMTRACACCGGCGGAAACGGAGGGAAAAGTCCACGTCCAAAGGACATCCAAATTGATATCTTTCTCTRCAGYAAAATRGYCAWTCATAGGTCAGTAAAAGAGGTTGGATGTTAGGTTTCATAACTAGTTTGAGCAATCAAAACGTAATTTTACCAATTAGAGATAAAGAAAGAAGTTCCCCTGAACCAGACATSTTGAACGCGGCTGGAAGAATGGGAACGATTTTATGAGCCCTCAAACAGCTGATCAGAGGTCAAAATATTTTCAAAATGGCGRCAGAAACAAATTTTGCAAAGTTGTCTTATTTTTTGCCTTCTATTACTGAGTTAAAGATGTAAGAACTAGGAAACTATGCATAGAAGCAGACATCATCATAAAAGGAGAGCATCCTCCTCCGAAGAAGATGATTTTGTTGTTTGGGAAGACCATAAACATGCTTTAAGTGAAATTTTCTTCCGCGAACAAGATTTCATTCAGAGGTTGGTTGACTAAAAAGTCTACTTGTAAGGAAGTCTTCATTAATTTGCTTACTTAGATTTATATATGTGATGCTTTGTGCAGGGGAAGTGAAGAATACAAAGACTTCTGGCTTTTTCTCGAGAAATATGAGAAATTTAGACGAAAGGGTCTCATGTCAACAAAAAATGGTAAACTTACTTACAACTTACACATTATAAGTAACTTACACTAAATCTCTACTAATAAAGCTAAATGAAGCTTAATGATTACTTAGGTTAGCTAAAGCTAAATGAAGCTTAATAATTACTTAGGTTAGCTGATTGATTCGTATCAATCCTCAGATAAGTCAGGAAGGAGTTCAAGAGAGTCCAAACTTGGAATCCCAATGGTTTACGACAAGAGATATAAAGTGAACATGTCCATATTGAGTGGAGATGTTGAAGGCTATAACAAGTCAAAGCACAATAAAGGTACATATATGAGCATGTTATGAAGTGCTGCGCCTTGAGGGCATGAGTAATGAATGGACAATGAAGCTTGATTACTGACAGCTTCTTCCAAAGTATGATCTTTCAAAGTTACTGCAGTGTAGATACATCATTCTGCCAAGGCCCAAAAGGCTGCAACCTCATTTTTTATTTATAAGTGAAAATCATTTATTAAATACCAGGATTCAGAATTTACTTATTACCCATCATCATCATCATCATCATCATCATCATCATCATCATCATCATCTTGTTTTCCAACATGGCTGCATTTCAGCCCCAGGGCGATCTTTCATGAAAACATGTTATATTACCATCAAGATTTGGTACTCCTGTGCTATGACAAAAAGATGATTGTGGGGAGAGGGGAGGGGAGGAATCCCATACTTTTTCCACAAGAAGTCCAAAGACAAAAGAAGCAAAAACGTTGACTGTCGTGGTCATACTAAACACACTCTTGCTAATTGTAGAGAAAGAAAGAAGAGCAAGACATGACTGTCTTAGTTCCAAAAAGATTGCAGAATTCAGATCCATCCTTCTCTATTATATTGATTTTTGTCAGAAACAAAAGGTTTGTAAATAAAACTAATGATTGTGTTATTGTCCTGAATTATATCTCT